AAAATACACGCAAACTTCACCCATTTGTCGTTATATTAGTATAAATTGATTGTCATTGCTGTTGTTGTTAGGTTATTAGAAACACATGGATAAATATGATATAGATTCCCATGGATATTTACCGTAGTAACTAAAACACTAAAAAATATTTTTTTTAATACGGGGTTCACTTGTGAAACTGATCTGTGATAATAATCTGTTGAAGTAGTGATATGTTTAAGATATTGATATTGATGTATATTCATGTATTTGGTTGATTATTGATTTGTATTCCTAAATCTTAAAAGCGGAAAATTGTAAAATAAAGGTAAACTAATGAAATTTGATAGAAATGTCTGACCTAACTTTGGTTATAATTGTGAACAGATGTTTGACCATATTTCTAATAAACAAACAGAGATCTAACCACTTATATATATGTATAGTCCTGTATAACTATTATTTTCTATAATCACTAATGCATATAACTCGAGGATAGATGTCAAAAATGTTAAGGATTAGTGATTAGATCAAATTTTATTTTGTCATCATTTGACAACTAAACGTAAACACAGTAAAGAAAAGAAGCGGTTTTTGAAGCAATACCATTAAAACAAACATGTGTAACAAATACTATTATTATTATTATTATTATTATTACTATTGGTTAAGCATCATTATTAATCTTCTCAACACATGATTCATTCCCTCCTTATTATGTCTTACTAATAATTTTTCATATAATATAGTCTTCCATCAAACTTTTGATCGGAATTGTAATTGCACTATTATTTCTCTCATCCTATCTGACCCATAATTATTCGGATCTTGGATCTTAAATTTTCACTTGACATATATTCAGATTCAAGTTCACATTCTATATGAATCATATCAACATTAACAATTTTATTCTATTTTGTTTAACAATCCTAAATTCACATGCTTTAACTTTAAAAGATACACTGCCGCAATTTATTTGTTTATTTATTTATTTAAACACATTGATACAAGGAGGCACCAAATAGATATGCGTCATATAAATCATTCGATTAGTGTGAAGACTGGGATACTGCCTGAGTGCCCAAACCGAAGCATGTGGTTTTCCTAGGGGACCACACCCGGAGCCTTTGACCCAAAGGTCTGAACCAAAAGGTAGTGGAGCAACATAGCGAGATGCAGTTCCATGGTAGCCGGTAACCAACACTAGGTTCATACGCCATTTGTTTTCTTAGGATCCTGAAGCCCATGTACACCAATGGTTTTTTAACGAGGGTTTTCCAACTCCCCCAATGGATCCTCCATATCCACCCTAAACCTGAATATTTTTCGAATTATTAATTTGGATATATATTTGTAAAACCTCAAGAGAATTTATCGAAAAGAATATTCTTCTTTCATATATTAGTCTTTTAAATACTAAAGTATCTGATGGCTGTCTGTAATTTATAAAATGATGGAGGATAAAGATTTATGAGTGTCCAAGAAAAAAGGTTGATATTCTTACTTATGGACTTTTAACTATTTACCTCCCAAATAGATTAATAGTCATTATTAACCGGCTTTTATGTTGATGTAAGAATAAATGTTAATTAAATGATGATTACATGATCAATGTAAATAAATGATTCTTAGTATCCTACCGTGTCGTTGAAAGTAAAGAGATTTTCTCGTTTAGTTATTTAGAGCGCATGAGATGGTGGGGGAAGTCGTAGTGATCTAATACGAGTATTGATTAACTCGCCTAGACTATCTGGTACCAATGTCTGATGGCTGACCAATGACATATTAAATGTGAGAAAACACTGGGGATTAACACTGAATGACCTTTGGTCCGAAATGCATTTTCTCGCTCTCTCTTGCTGGATAGCCGGAATAGAGAACAATTCAGCAAGCAAGCGACTTCTAATTTTACAGTTGGAATTTATGAATCCGTCATACAATTACATAGAGCGAGATTCCAATCACACATCAATAGGATTAAAAAATTATAATATGGGCCCCAACATATGCCCCCAAAGTGGAAGATGATTGAGTGATAGGTCCGTAATAAATTAGCAATAACTTAGGAAAAGTAAAATACACAAAAATAATTTCTGCGACCAACAAAGGCTTACACGTAAGCGGAATAAAAGAATATAGAGTAATGAACATGGACTCAGGTAAGGTAAACCAATTTATTGTACTATGTTAAACCACACACTATTCGTAAACCACACGGTTTGCCAATCCCACTTGAGTTGTCGCTCACAAACCCCATGATTCCTTCATTCCTGTTGTTATTTTGATTACTTTCTGTTTTCCTTTATCTTCTCTTTGTTTTCCTTTGCCGTCCATTAGAATTCCACTTCAATTCCTCATGCATACTAATTATATTAGTCCGTATAAGTAGTAAACACCATAATGGTAATTTAAGTATTAAATGTTAACTTCAGAAAGAAAAGTTCCGAGAGTTGCCTTCTGCTTTATATTTATCCTTAAATGACACTTACAAAATGATAGCACTTTATCATTTCTTTGACATGTAATGAAATACAAAGTTTACTTCGAATCATTTTGTTACAAGACAAAATTCTGATCATTCTCAATTCATTCTAATCGCTTACAATTATTATTAGAATAAACACTTTGAAGATTATTATGACAGATATCTACAAAATCCGTTTCTGTCATGCTCTCGTTGAACTTCAAACAAAATCAGTCATTAATTTCCCGAAAATGTTCAATTTCGAATTCCAATTTAGCGTGAATTAATTTTGTAACATTTTTACGTTTTTCAGTGATTCATATGTTATCCATCAGAAGTTTTTCAACGAAGAGTTATAACTTAAGTATCATGGTATTCACTGTCTTAGTGATTGCAATATCAAAATTGAATAATACTGTTCTATCTTAAAATAAATTGATCATCTTGAAAGTTTATTTTTTGAGCATTTAATTGAGGATCTTTAGGTCCATCTTTAAGTCACACCGGAATAACATTAGTAGTAGTTGTAGATACTAAAAAATAATAACAAACATCATCAGTAGAGTATTCATTTAGAAATATAGACAATAAATAACACTTTTAGAGTAACACTAATGTGACAGAGTTAGATCATATAGAAATGCATGTAGTACATTATTTGACATACTAACAAACATTATTTAGTAATTAAAGCTGAACTACTTACAAGTAATCAAATATTCAATTGTAATTGGATTAAAGAGATCAATTTATTTTTTTAAATTTCACATGTATAACGAATTCATCTGTTTTTTTATTGTGAGAAAAGTAAGGTGGAAAACCATGGTTGATATAACCATCAAGGTACTGACATTTTCAATAACATGCATTTGCTATTTCCGCGAGTTATTGTTTTCGCCAAAAGTTAAAGATGGGTTTTTTTATTATTGGATTTATTTATGGTTATTAGTCAACCAAGTTTGGGAACTGTTTTCACTATTTTGTTGCGACAAATTTTTCTATCAAAGTCAGAAAAAGTATCACACACTTGAAAAAATGACATTGCACTTTTTTAGTGCAAAACTTCATGAGTAATATTTTCTACATTTAGATAGAATGATTTGATAACTAAAGTAACACTCATAGTAATATCCATTGTAAAGTAATCTATAAGGTAAATATAAGTGTTGTTTACACGACAATAATTGCTATATATATCCTTATATATATCCTTTGAACATTTATTCACTTGTTTGAATCAATAGGTTTAGCATACCATATGAAATCAACGTATACAGAAGTGATTCCATGTGATGATATTGGGCAACTATCTAGCAATTTTACCAGGTCAAATTACTGTTCAATGTCACTGGGATGAAGGACTTCTTGCTGATGACTAGTGTTTATTTCATTACACATGTCACGATACTGATATCTGAGATTAGAAGGTGGCCACTTACTAAGGAACAAGTAGTTAACTGTTCAAAACTATTTTTGTAACAGTAGATAATAGGAGAACAGATTAGGTACGTTTATGACATGTATTACAGCAATGCAATGCAACGACCGGGAACTTTTAGTTCTTTTTAAGTGAACATCCTGTTGATTTATGAACGGTGTATTTAAGGTCACATCCTGTGCCATGACGAATTAATTATAATCATCTACAACTAGAGAAAGTAAAATGGAAACAAAGAGCACGGAACAACAAAGCAGTAATTATATTAAATATATAATTAATTACATAATTAAATTACAATTAAATATATCAGTTGGATCTACCAATAATGCATGTATAATGTGACTCAGTAATATACTGTTCATGTTAGATATTATTCAAATTAGTTAGGTTTGTCAGGGACGGTGTTCA